AAAAGTACCAAAAAATCCCCTTTTATAGATTCTCATTTACTAAGGGCTCTACATGCTTAATTTCATGTTTCTAGGTTAAATTTTATAGAAAACTCAAAAAGTACCAGTCGAAGGACGAAAAAGTACCAAAAAGTCCCCTTTTATAGATTCTTATTTACAAAGGGCTCTACATGCTTAATTTCATGTGTCTAGGTTAAATTTTATAGAAAACTCAAAAAGTACCAGTCGAAGGACGAAAAAGTACCAAAAAGTCCCCTTTTATAGATTCTCATTTACTGAGGGCTCTACATGCTTAATTTCATGTTTCTAGGTTAAATTTTATAGAAAACTCAAAAAGTACCAGTCGAAGGACGAAAAAGTACCAAAAAGTCCCCTATTATAGATTCTCATTTACTCTGGGCTCTACATGCTTAAATTCATGTTTCTAGGTTAAATTTTATAGAAAACTCAAAAAGTACCTTTTGAAGAACGAAAAAGTACCAAAAAGTCCCATTTTATAGATTCTCATTTACTCCGAGCTCTACATGCTTAATTTCATGTTTCTAGGTTTAATTTTAAAGAAAACTCAAAAAAGTACCTGTGTAGAACGAAAAAGTAGCGAAAAGTCCCTTTATTATTAATTTCATGTTTCTATTTCAATATCATAGAAAACTCAAAAAGGACCAGTTGGAGAATGAAAAGTACCAAAAAATATCACTTGATACCGGGGTTCCAAATAACACCCCATTAGGATATTTAGTGTTTCTAAATTTAAAAATTTTATCTAAATTGGATCATTGTGGTTGAATAAAATCAAATTTCCCGTGTTTGCCCCTTTTGGTACTTTTTTCCTCCCCATTAACGAAATAAAAATTCTATTCCAAAAAGTTGCAACCTCGTAGTGGGAGCCCGTTATTATGTATTCATATGTATAAGTTAATAAACCAAAAACAATGTTTTATGAAAAAAGTACCAAAAATAGGTACAATTTTAACCCCTTAAACGTCCGAATATCCAAAAAGTACTAAATTCATATTTTTATTTTTTCGTTAAGTTATGAAGGAGTCAAAAATATTTTTTGAATGTGCACTGGTTCAAAAGATACATGGGGTGCGAAAAAAGTACCAAAATACAGTTTTTACCCGTTTATTCCCTAAAGGGGCCGAATTTTAAAAAAGTACCAGACACCTGTCCGTTTATTTTTTAAATGAACGGCGATAAGCTTTAAACTGTTTTTATATCTTTTCTAGTTTAGGAGATATAAGATTACCGAATTTACCCGTTTTTACCCTTTTTTACCCCCTAAACATTCGAATTTCCAAAAATCCCGTCTTAGTGGATCTATTTGGCGGGAGACCAACCTCCTGTCCAAATTTCAGCTCTTTAGCTTCAACCGTTTAGGCTGTGCGATGATGAATCAGTCAGTGAATCAGTCAGTCAGTCAGTCAGTCAGTCAGTAACGTTAGAATTTTATATATATAGATAATATATAAAGCATATATTCCGGATCCTTATAGATAGCGGAGTCGATTTAGCTATGTCTGTCTGTTCGTGTGTATGTTGAAATCAGTTTTCAGAAGTCCCCAGATATCTGCGAGATCCAAATCTTCAATAATTTTATCAGACATACCTTCGGGAAGAACACTTTTCAAAGTCAGCAAAATCGGACCATAAATAACGGAGATATGAGCAAAATCTGACACAACCTCTGAAGAGTAAATCAAAAATTGAGATTTTTGGTGCACGCAGAGATAAAAATAGTAAACAAACAACAACAACACACATAATACGTTAAATTATGTGCTTGCACTTGCTTGTTTATAAAAACAAAGCAGTGAAAAAGCAATGAAACTGTGTGTTGTTATTGGCTTGAAACTTGAAATTAAGTATGTAAGTCCCGGAGTAAGGAAGTATAGTCCGGATGAGTTGAGAACCCATAAAAGCGGACTTTTTGGTACTTTTTCGTTTTTTAGAAGGTACTTTTTGAAATTTCTATAATATTGAAATTCTATAAATATGAAATTAAGCATGTAGAGCCCGGTTTAAGTGAGAACCTATTAAAGAGGACTTTTTGGTACTTCTTCGTTCTTCAAAAGATACTTTTTGAATTTTCTATAATATTGAACCTAGAAATATGAAATTATGCACGTAGAGCCCGGAGTAAGTGAGAACATATAAAAGAACACTTTTTCTTATCTTTTCGTTCTCCAAAAGGTACTTTTTTTTGTTTTTTATAATATTGATCCTAGAAATATGAGATCTCTAAAAGGGGACTTTTTGATATTGTAAATATATGTATATACATTTACAATAATAATATTTATTTTATTCCATTACGATCAGGGTAGCGATGCACGCTGGGCATAGCTAGTATGTAATAAAATCTTTACTTATTAACAAAGCTTAATTAAATTTTCAACGTTTTTTAAATTTGTCATTCTAAACAATAAGTAAATAAAAATGTCAAAAGGTCAAAGGAAATCCCGCAATTTCCAAAAATTTGAGCGAAAATCCCAAAAATTGTACTTTTTTTAATTTTACCCATACAATCCACATTTCTCTCGAGGTTCTGAAAATACTTTGGGTATAAATAGGGAACACACTAAGGCTGCCAAAATTGCTTTCAGTTTTCTGATCACAACTTTGGGATTTTAGAACATGTGGCCATTTTTGGATCCGTAAATGCTATTGGCGTGAAATTTTTGGTATGTTTTTGTTTAACTTTCTCAGTTATAAGCCGCCCTCATAATATCTAAAAGTTGGTTTCAATCAGTTTTTTTGAAACTTAAAGTATTTATTTCTAAAACATGGAACTACTACTCTTGACCAAAAAATTTTATGTACTTATACTTTTAAGTCTTTCGAATAAAAATTCATCATCAATTAATTTTCTAGATATAAAATCCAAAATAAAACATGTAAAAAAGTATAGTCGGGCGTGGCCGATCATACGATACCCTACAATATTTATGTGTATATCTAAAATGTATATAATTTTAATAGTAAAACAGTTATGTTTAATTTTTCCTTAATTTCGATATATTTTTGATGAAAAAATGATTTTCTGATGGAGGCTATATATGGAGGCTAGGGTCAAATATGAACCGATCCTAACAAAATTTGGTGAAGGCATTTTTGTTGACATTAAATGATTCTGAGCCGATTAGTTTACTTAAAGGTATAGGACCATTTATTCTATGCGTTACAAACATCAGCACAAATCCAATATACCCTCCCTACTGCCCCCCGGCCATGTTTCCTTGATGATAGACCGCATCTTGGTGTATTGCAATCCGGGGGTAGATAGGTGCTACCAATACCTCGAGTCTGCCGGGACTATAAATAAATGTTTAAAATTTACTGCCTGGCCTAGTCCTTGTATAAATTGAAAAAAAGGTCTAACCAAAGCACCACATAATCTGGCACTACAGGTGTCCAGTTGCCCACAGGACTTGTGTTGGCTAGTCTGTTGGTTGGGGTTCCTTCGGGATCCACGTAGTGGCTGTGGTTGAAACCTAAATCGCAGGAAGGGGGTGCTTGGTTAAAGGACTGATACACTGTGGAATATAATTTTCAAGATACATTTATGTTATCGCTCCCAGATGTGGATTAATAAAATGTTGGATTTGAGCTGATAATGCAAAGAATTGATATACGGGATGTGGAGTTTCTGATGTACTGAAGTTTTGATGGATTTGACGGATGGGTGATTTGATCGCTTATGATGTGCTGAACGATGTTTTAGCTGGATGGAGGAGGAGTGTGGTGTAAACCGTCACTGACCTTTCTTTAATTTATCGGCGATTTTCCTTTCATGGTTGAGTATGTTGGAGTTTACTCTAAAACATGCTCAACTTATCATAGTGGGTCTTTTTGGCCACTGAAATAAGTCTTGTCTATTAATATGTTCCATGTTTCGGACTACCAACTACGTCCCCTAGGTGCTGTTGCCGAATCAACAGATCTCAGTAAAGTGGTTGAGCGACATATAAGGTTTTACCTTGTCGGGGTTAAATTGCGCTTGCTCATGACACCTGTTCTTCCTCATCGGGACTACTATGGCAAGAGATTAGATAGCTCGAACACTTGAGTAAAGTGCTTGTACATGGACCGGCTTTAGCCATGTACAGAAATTGCCAGCTGATTTCTTCATTAAAGATTGAGGGGGCGGTGGTGAGTCGTCACGAAGCACACCCAATGGTTGAAAAAGACCACAGTGAGATAGGCCAACATGGCAGGTACTCACGTAAAGCACTTCGCTTCAATACCCTAAAGAGAATTTACCACGCACAATTGTACTTATGCCCCTATTATGGTTTACAACTCAACTCTTTTTTCGTTGAAATTTTGCTCTTTGGTATTATCGATAACAACTTAAAACTTAAAGTTGAAATTTATTACAACTTTTTTGGAAAAAATTACAACTTATCAAAAGCAGTTGTAACAAATTACCATTCAATTGTTCAGAATAAATTTTTAAAATAAAACAAAGTAAAGTTTTCATCAATCACTGATTTCAAGCGAATTTACAATAGAAAGATGTTCAATACTTTTGTCATTTACGAAAAACACTAATTCATAAACTTTTCACTTAATTTTATAACAAAGCACTTTTAGGTTGGCAACATCAACACAATTACAACTGAAATTGGTTGTAATTCATAATACCAAAAATAAGTAAACCATAATAGGTTTCCATAATTTAATTTAGCATTGCCAATTTTAATACACTAACTTTTTATTGTGTATACTTTATGTATTATCTATGGATATTACTCATACGCTGATATGTTTCATGAAATAAACACATTTGTAGTAACAGGGGATTCCGACGAACCGAATGATATACGTCTATAAACGACTATAAATATAATGGAGAAAACTGTTACAATTTTCCCATGGATTTTTTATCTATAGAAAGACAACCGCTGATCACTTTTACATAATCTTATTAAAAGAAATATGTATCAGATCTGCCAACTTATAGCAATCGATGGATTTTAAATAAAAGCTTTTTTGTGTTTACTTTTTTAACTATTTTTTAACAAAAAATTTATTTCAACCATGATTTTTTAACAAACAACAAAAGTCTTAATGACTTCGCTTATTGTTCCTTGGAGGGGTGAGCCTTGATGTATTCAATAGCCTTGAGGATGTGTTCTGGGATTGGTGGGGGAGTGGGCAACAAGGGGTTGGCGGCATCGACATGGTAACCGTTTTCGTCAGCGGTGTATTGCAAAGAAACTTGTTCACCTTCGGGGGAGGTGTAAGAGTATTGGCCCTTGACTTCCCAGACATCTTCACCCTTCAATTGACCAGCTTGTTCAGCCTTAATGCTGTTGTCGAATTCATAAGCGTATTTGAAGTTGTCAACATTGACTTCAGCTTCGCTACGGAGGACATTGGCTTCTTCGTTGGCGGCAACAACAGCCAAAACGCAGGCAAATACGATCTAAAAAATCAAAAGATTATAATTAATAATTTGAAATGGCGAACAGAACGGAAGTGCGTTTTAATATAAAATGTGTTTATCTTTAACTTACGAAGAATTTCATGGTGATTTTGTGTGGTTTGTTAAAGTTTTCAAATAAAACTGTTGTCTTTTCAATATTTCACTCTCGATTTTATAGTCAGTTTTTACTTTTTTTTTTCAAAAAATTTGATAATAATTTCGATTTGTTTTGTCTAACATTTTATTCAACTCGTTTTGCCATTTTTTATTTTCGTATAACTACTATATCGATGAAGTATTTTAATTGTAAGGGACAACAAAAAATCAACCAAAAAATTCAAATTTAAAACACAATTATAGAAAAAAAATCTAGTTTTAAACCAACAAAACATGTTCAAAACACGGGCGCTCATTAATTATTTATGTAAATTTATTTAAATAATTATAATATATATGCCAAAAATATACAACAGCAATAATAGAAGACAATAAATTTAATAAAATCGTATAAAAATCTACATAATAGATGTTCATTCGTACGATTCGTTCTTTGCTCATAAAATTAAACAAACATCTGTGCATCATGATAAACATTTATGGTCAAGACGTTTTGAAGATGTTAAATTTTTGGTTTTAGTGTTTTCTGTTATCAGTAGCTGTTACTGATATTTTAATTATTTCTTAAATAGTATGTGGAGTTTTGAATATTGTTGTATTGTTTAAAATACATTTAATTATTTGTTAACACATAATTTAGAACAAGTTTATAAACAGTTTATAACGTTTGCATTTATTATTGTTTTGTTATATTTGATTTATAAAAAAGACTTCTTTTCTTTTGAAAAATCTTTTCTTTATTTTTTTTATTACGAAAGCAATGAATGGTTTTATAATTGATTTTAATTGATGGTATTTATTTTATTTTATAGATCATGTTTGCTATTTAATCTATAGATTTCATATAATTTTTATTTCTTTCTTTTGATTATTTGATTTTAATAGTTAATTAGTATTTGTTAATAAATATAAGTAATGAATATAAAAGTCCATCAAAAGACTTCTTTTCTTTTGAAAAATCTTTTCTTTATTTTTTTTATTACGAAAGCAATGAATGGTTTTATAATTGATTTTAATTGATGGTATTTATTTTATTTTATAGATCATGTTTGCTATTTAATCTATAGATTTCATATAATTTTTATTTCTTTCTTTTGATTATTTGATTTTAATAGTTAATTAGTATTTGTTAATAAATATAAGTAATGAATATAAAAGTCCATCAAGTAGATTAAGACATTTTGTTTTAAATATTCTCATTAATGTTTAATAATAAAAATAATGAATACTTAACTAAACAAAATATTCATATAATGCTCGTTTTGATTTGAGATTATTCAGTAATTAGATCTAATTTTTATTATGTCCCCTTTAAGCATGGACCAAATCAAAAAGTTAGTATATATGTATTAATTTCATTCAATTTGACAGAATGAAATAACAGCAAATTTTTAAATTTCGAAAACTGGCTTTATATGGGAGTTATGACAAAAAATTAACTGATAATGGAAAAATTCTGTCCATAATATGATTTCTGCACATATTAACCTTACTACACTGGCATTAAAGTTATAGTTTTTTATACTTACCCTTTTTACCGCTAGTTCAATTCCGAGGTTTTTCAAGTACGACCATTTAGTGAACAAACACTGCCAGTGCACGAAAGGGTATCAGTTACTATACCAAATATCTTCTTTTAGAAGGTTTTTAAACAAGTCTCCTGGACCAGATGTCATATCGGCATTTATCTTGAAGCAAAGGAAAATTACAAATTTTCTGTATGCAGGAAGATATAACTCCTATTCCTATAAAGTTATGGAAGAAAGTATGATTAACTTCTAGCTTGTCATATATTTTGAGACCATAGATATCATTCTAGACTAGATCTACTAGCCTCCCTTTCAGGTAAATGTTGTTTTAAAATTCACCTCTCTAAATTTGATAGAGTTTGGCATGGATACTTACAATTAAATTAAAATAAGTTAAGTTTTTATACCCCACACCACTATAGTGGGGAGGGTATTATACGTTTGTGCTGATGTTTATAACACACAAAAATATAGGTCCTACACCTTAAAGTATACCGATCGATTCAGAATCACTTTTTGAGTCGATAAAGACATGTCCGTCCGTCTGTTCGGCTGGCTGGCTGTCCATGCAAACCTTGTGCGCAAGGTACAGGCCGCAATTTTCAAGATAATTTGATTAAATTTGGACCAAGCATGTTTATTGGGACGCCTATTGAAAATGGTTGAAATCGGTCCTTTATTTCACCTAGCCTCCATACAACAGTACCTCCCGAGTTGGGCTTTTTATGCCATAATTACGTCAAATATACTATTATCTCTCTAAAAATTGGCACAAATAATATATAGGTATAAATGACACTGCAGATTTTCGTAATGATCGGCCCTTATTTGACCTTAGGCCCCATACAAACCCCCCTTTTAAAATATGTGTAATCATGCCATGCCCGACTATACTTTCCTACTTGTTTATATTGTTTTTGTACCTCCGTTTATAACACATTGAAATAATTGTTGTAGACCCATAGAAGTATATATATTCTGGGACCTTATTAAATTTTAAAGCTATCTAGATAGGGCCTAAAAGGTAGAAGCTAAAGAGCTGAAATTTTGCTCTAAATCAGTCATGGGCAAACACATACCACCATGTGTATATTTGTGTGCGTTAAGCAGCAGAGAGATGACTGCACGTTATAACAAAATGGTGGTACACTGAGAAAAGTTTTGAAATTTGTTTTCTATTGCAAATACTTTTTACGACGAGAAAAACTCATGAACTTTTGGGCATTTTAAACAAAAATGGAATAAAGGGAAAGAGTTTTTCATTTAAGAAAAGTAGTAGTATTTTTAAAAAGTAGTATTAAATAAAACTACTGAAATATCATTAAGAAAATCACGACTTTCTATTCGATTTCGAACTTTTAAGGGATATTACCGAGATATTAACTGAACTTAATTTAAAGTTCAACTAATCTATCCAAATCAATGTTTCCTTTATATTCCTTAATACGCAATAAGTCACCAATGTGTTGATCGGTTAACCTTTTAATTGCAACAACTTTACTTTTCTGTCATATCCCCTAAGGTCATTTAAGGGTCCATGGCAAGTTTCATAATGCCTTTTCAAAAAAAATAAAGCTTTTCTACATATAATTTTATAACATACGACGCATTGTGCCTCACCGTCCATGTTTTCTATAAAAAATAAATCATTTTCCCAATTTATATCAAACATTTTGCTAGGTGTAATAAAAGAGAAAAAAACATAAGCATAAAAAAATCCGCAACGTGATCTTGCTTCTACAAAAGCTGAACAGCAACTGATTTGATTTTGATCTCTGAGATCGTAACAAAGCAACAAACAAGTGGTCATTTTAGTAAAACACAGACACACTAATACACACAAGCTTATAGTGTAGGTGTGTCAACAAAGCGTCAGCAGAATTTCTTGGCCTATGCACGCGTGCATTAGAATTTCAGTTTTGCTCGTGACTGCTCTAAATACTTCACTTATAAGCAGGCTTGGCGGGTAATGGCTGAATTTTCAATTACATTTGAAGTAATAGTAATTGAAGAATTACCAATTATAACTACTTGTAATTGTGAATTTCAATTACACATTATGTGTAATTGGAAAGCCTTCAATTACAAGTAATTGTAATTGGTTATTGCTCAATTACACATTACAAGTAATTGTAATGTAACATGTAATGATTAACTTTGTGTAATCATTACCCCCTTGCCTGTTGATAAGTACTGTTTGGTGTTGCAAATTGGTCATATCGGCCCACGTGTTCGCATAGCCCCCAATTTTTCAGAAAATTACTTAACGTTCATTACTGACTTAAAAATACCAGTACAGTGAAGAAATAACTGTCATATGAACCTAAATCTCTATACAAAAATCATGAAGATCCATAACTCCATTTTGAGGTCCCCATCGAAATGACTTTTAGATATAACTAATTAAAAAATTTCAGTATAGCAATCAAATATAACATCATCGAGTTTTATATAAAGCCAAATCTCTCAATGAAACTGTATAACTAACGGCTCATAATTGACCCCATAAAAGAGTCCTTCAAAAATTAACTTAACTCTCATATCTGGCTTAAAAATGCCAGATATGAACACTGACCTCAACCAGTTTCAGATTAACTAAAATCTTTCTAACAAATTTTATGACGAACGGTCCAACCTCATATTCAGAAAAAGACTTTTGCGTTTATAAAGGCACTGAAATATGACACAATCAAAATTTATATTAACCGAAATCATTCTACTAAATTTTATTATGATTTGGCCATAATTGTCCCCTTCAGAAAATGATTTTGCATTCATGACAAAATAGCAACGACATTTACATAAATGAATTTTAACGATGACATTCGACACTAAAAAGTTTTTTAGGAACCTATAAACCCTCTTACAGAAAACCAGTTATAGGTAATAAATCATTCCATTATGATTGAATTACTGTATAACTCCTAGAGAAATAGTTACTTCTTTAAATTCAGAAGAGCTTGGTATATAATCCCCAATTTAAGGACTATTGCAAAAATCTAAAAATTAAAATACCTACGTATGTATATAGGGCCACATTCCGAAATTTACTCTAGCTTTACCTGCTGGAGAGTAAGAAGCACAAAGGGGCGGTGGTAAGTCGTCTAACAAGTTTACACTGTGGTTGTAAAAGTATTACCGTGAAATAAGGCCAATTCGGCAGGTATTCACGTAATGAAGTTCGACTTGTTTTACCGCAAGGTCCGTCATTCTTATATCTTATTTTCTTAAACGACCTTCCATTTATTTCCATTCCTATCTACTCTTTTGCCGATGACAGTAATATTATTATTCATGCAATTAAAGGTCAAGTCCTTTATATATTGGCCCATCTGATTACTCACATATATGGACAGGAGCTTCGAAGTTTACTTTTGTAGCTACTCGTCCGTGAACAGAAGAGGACGAAGGAACTTATCGATATCTCACAATTGCATCGCAATTACAATGAAATTGTTTCCTCTGAAATTAGGGAACTTGTTCTGGATACCCGTATATTTTTCATCAATATCACACTAATTTCTGATCGATTGGCCAGTGGATCGCACAACACACTATAGAGAAAATTGATTCTTTAGTCCTATCGCTTATATGTGGAACAAACTTCTTGCTGAAGTAATCCCCGCCACTTTCGATTGCAGGAAGATTTAAGTCAAATGTCGACAAACACTCCCTCT